TCAGAAGGTACAGACTTCCAGTTACAAGATGAGTAAGTCCTAGAGATCTCATGTACAGCATGGCGACTGAAGTGAGCTGCACTGAGTTATATACTTGAAGTTGTTAAGAGAGTAGATCTTAAATTTTATCACCACACAAAAAAAGGAACTTATGTGAAGGAATAGAGGTGTTAACTAACTTATCATCATGTTGTACATGTTAAACTTGTTCATGTTATATATCAATAATATATCAATAAATCTGGAATATATATATGTATATATATAATTTCAAAAAACAGGGCTGTGGCTGCTTTGGGATGAGGCAGCAGAGGTCGGAGGTGGGAGAAAGAGACAGGAGGAAATTTGGGAGAGTGATGGCTCTGCTCATTATCTTGATTGTGACAAAGGTTCAAGGGTGTATGCATGTGTCAAAACTTATCAAATTGTATGCTTTGAATATGTACAATTTATTGTAAGTCAAGTATACTTTAATAAAAGTGCTAATGTTAATGGGGAGTAGAGTTTTCCAGTTCTTCACCATCCATATCTCTGTGTCCATAATTCAGGCACTGAGGGAAACACTTATTCACCACAAGGGCAAAGAAACTGAGATCATAAACAATTCCATCTGATAAGTATATAAATCAACCCAAGGCTTGTTGGGCAGGAGGGGAAAATTAGGGAAGAGATAACCCAGGATGATATGAACAGTCACTGCTGAGAACTGGAAACATTGCAGAGAGAGAGGAGAGGAGAGGGGAGGGGAGAAGAGGAGAGGAGGGGAGAAGAGGAGGGGAGAGGGGAGGGGAGGGAAGGGGATGAGAGATGAGTTTTAAGCCCAGCACAAGCCCTTCCTCCATCTTTATGTTACCTGCTCTTTCCCAATAAGCCAAGACAATGTTTAACTGCTATGGGTCCTGCGGTCAGTTCTGCTACCCTGCCCCTCTGCCTCCTTGAGCCCCTGGGCAGCCTGCCACAGGGACAAGGTCCACACCCACCAGGTAGAGCCACTGGCCCTAAAAGTGGAGAAGTGTGGGGCAGGGTGGAGCATAAGAGAGACCCAAGTGCAGACTGGGGAATCCTGTGAGACACTCTGCCTCTCTTCCCCACAGGCCCCTGACACCACCATTAAAAGATGGAATTAGTTCTAGAGAAGGAAGCTGGTGTTCAGTTACCTGCTGCTCCCCCATATCCACCATGTTCATCTCCTTTCCAAAGTTCTAAAATGTCCTGGCACTCTTCCCCATGGAATGGGAGAGGCCACAAGTCCATCCTAGAAAGGCATCATTCTTCTGCCGCCCCTCTGAGAAACACACTCTGTGGTGTCACCTGTAATGTTCCATGTGACATTTTAAAAGACAGGAACTGATGGTTGTCCACAGAAACAACACAGCGATGAGTGTACATCTGTGGATGCTGTGATCAACACTAATCTATCCAGTACTGGGTGTTAAGTACTTAACTCAAAATGGTACCAAATTGTCACATACTACTATCACTCTTATGGAAGAAAAGGACTCCTCTTTTCTCTTTGTTCTTAATGGCCTACAAACAGCATCAAGGAGAATAGTGTTCCCTGATACCAGCTGTCATTTAGTTCCCTTCGCAGGCGTGTCCTCATGCTCTTTCGCTCTACACTTAGAGCCGAGGTTTACTTTGTTGTTGCCTTTCCCCCACAGCCCTTCTGCTCTAAGAGCCCTAGCTCTTCGAGGTCCAGCTGTGGTACATTCTGCTGTAGCCTCATAGGGGATCTCCAGTCCTAAGTATTCTAGGTGTTCAGCAACTCAGTCTGCTGGCAGCCAGGATGCCAGGAGCTAGAGAGGGTCCAGCAGAAAGGCCTGTGTTCCCAGGCACCCAGGACCTGGGTGTTCAAGACTGAAGTTGAGAAGGAAAGAGGGTGGGAAGTGGGGCAAGGAAGAAGGGAGCACCTGTCCTCACATGAGGTGGTCTCCAGCTGGTGGTCTATGACTCGCAAAAACAAGAGTCTCAGCACAGGTGACATCTATCTCTGGTTTTCAGCATCCTGGACTTAGAAATTAAGTATAAAATGGTTGGCAGATGATTTGCTTTTGTCTGAACTGAGATTGGTAGGCAAGTCTTTTAAATTCCTTCCTGGCAAATTCGAATTGTATTGCCAGAATCCTCTCCTACCACCTTCCCCACAGCGTGCCTCAGGTTATGCAGAGTCTCCTCATCCCCAAGGCTGGAGCTCTAATGGGTCAAGCCTTGGGGGGAAATCATGTTTGCTTCTCCCTCCAAGAAGCAGAGGGTGGAGAGCTGGGGGAAATAATTCAAATGTGCATTTTCTCAGCCATGGCCAGGTGGCTCAGGAGCATCATCCTGTACACCACAAGTTTGCAGGGTCGATCCCCAGTCGGGGCACATATGGGAGGCAATGAATCAATATTTCTCTCTGTCCCTCAAAAAAAAATCAGTAAATATATCCTTAGGTGAGAATTTTTTTTAAATGTGCAGCTTCTCAGAAACTCCATCAGCCAGGACCCGTGTCCCCACCGCCGAACACTCCGGGTGCACAGCCACCACCATGCAATGCTCATACTGGCTTACTTCCGTGAGGAGGGGGGCTACAGAGAGAACTGACAAACTTCACCTACTACTGAGTTTTGCCTAAGAAGCCCATCTTTCCTATTTCCAATTCTTCTCTCTCCTAAACTCTTAAGCCCACTGCAACCAGCCTTTGCCCCTACACTCCACTGTAACTGTTCTGACAAAGTCACCAGTGACTTCCGTACTGCCAAATCTAATAATCAACTCTCATTTCTCATCTTTCTTAAGCTATCTGCAGCATTTGGTTAGTTCTCTCTCCCTCTTCTCTGCGAGCATTGCTTTACTTGTCCCCAACACTTCACTTTCTTGATTTTCCTCCTCCTTTACTGGTTTCCCCACCTGTGTCTCTTTTGTTGGTTCCTCCTCTTCTCCAAGATCTTTAAAGGTCCTCCTCTCTTTTCTTATGCCATTAAAGTTTAATGATTCTCAAACTTATGTCGACGATTCAGGTCTTTGTCTCACCCAAACTCTAGACTCTGCTGCTCCTCTCACGATGCCTTTTGCTTCCCCTTCTTCAGCCTAGTGGTTTTGCTCTAGACCTGGAAATCACTCTACTCTCTCCCACATCTTCATGTCATTCCTGCTAATTTCCAGGCCAGCCTTTACCCAATGCCGGAGACGCTTGGAGAAAGCTGCTCACCACCTAAGCTTTCTGCCACGTGAGGCCCTAAGCTGGTTAGTAGGTTCCAGATACAGAGTCTCAATGCCCAGCTTAGGCCCCAGACTCCTCCTTCTCCTCCCACCAGCCCATCTCTCCACCCAATTCTCTGAAGGGAGAGTGTTCAGGCCTAAATTCCTAAACAAGCATGTGGGGTGTCCAGGGCTAGATCAAAAGTAGAAAGACTTCCCTCTTCCTTCACAACACAGCCTGAACAAAGTTCTGTGATTTTGGGCTGCTGGCCAGAAACTCCTGGAGAGAAAAGACATATCAACCCTTCCTACCCTTCTGGAAAAACAATCCCAGAGACAATCCCCAATCGCTACAATCCCAAGAATAACACTATGGGCTCAGAGCATCTCTCTGTGCCCTCCTCCATTCCTCCCACCTCCACTCTGTGTTGTAGGTTTTTCTCTCTCTAAAACCATGGTGAGACGAGCTTGATGCATTTTGGAGGCTTCTACTCCCCTGCAAAAGGGGAGGTTTGCCCATGAATGCATAAGTAAGTGGAACAAAAAAAATCAATGTTTTGCCTGATCTACTTGGATCAGTGGGTTGACCATCATCCTGCAAAGCAAAAGGTTGCAGGTTTAATTCCTGGTTAGGGTGCATGCCTGGGGTGTGTGTCCAGTCCCGGCTGGGACGCATGTGAGAGGCAAATGGTAGATGTTTCTCTCGCCTGATGTTTCTCTCTCTCTCTCTCTTTCTCCCTTTCTTCCCCTGTCTCTAAAAACAAATAAATAAAATCTTTAATTAAAATGATCTTTCTCTCTCTCAAATCAATCAATAAAAATTTTTATGTAAAAAGGGGAAGATGTTGCATTGGGGCATTCTGCAACCCCTGTGGCCCATAAGATTACCACTCCCTTTGGTATTTTCCCCAGTGACCTGCCTCTTTGCTTCTCCTTCCTCCAGCCTTGACTGCAGCCTCACTTCAAAACCAGACCTGGGAGCCCAACCACCAACAAGGAGATCTTCCTAACCCACTGCTCAGCCAGAACCTTCTGTACCCGAGAAAGCCCTCTGGAGCTTCCCACAGCAATGATCTGGGATTCCTTGAAATTAAGTGCAGGAAAATGACCACCACTGCTGTGGGGGTAGCAGAGTTACCCCAGGGGAGAGAATGGAGGGGAATGAGAAGCCAACAAAGAACTTGAGCTCAAGTAAAGAGTTAGAGCTAATGCTCCACACACACATGTTCAATGAGACATGTACCACTGGTATCAAAGGTGATAACACTGGCGGAGTTAGGTAGTGAACAGCTTAGGGAATGCCACGGTACCAGAAAACAGGAGGAAGACACAAGTTCACGGCTAAGGAATCTTGAGACCATGGGACAGTTTGATGTCAATACCATTTTCTACATAGTTACTATTTATTAAGCACTTTATATATATTACCTCTAATCCTTACAACATCCTTGAAAGGCAGGTATTACTATGTCAATTTAAAGGAGCAGCAGTTGAGGCTGTGAGGAGTCAAGCAACTCGCCCAAGATTACACAGAGAGTACGTAGCAGAGCCAGAATCCAAACTCTGGTCCATCTGGTTTCAAGCCTGTACTCACATTTCTGTGACGTCATGCTGTAATAGAAAAACCCCTGGGAAAGTCATGTGCTCTGTCTAGGTCTCGATCTCCTGCAGTGTTGTCCTTAGTCCTTAATGCCTTCTAAGGAAGGGTCTTTCCAATTTCAGCATTCTACGTGTCTATGGGATTCCCCGGGGGGGCGGTAAGTGCAGGACATGGAGGCATCCTCCTTCCAAGGGTTGGTGGGTGGTGCAGTGGCTCTCACCTCCCCCATTTTTGTAGCAGAGATAGGGAAACCTCCAGACGTTGCCCAGCCCAATGATCTCCCCGGCCACTGACAGCACAAACTCCATCTTGTTGTTCCAGTGCCCCCGTTCCAGGGTGCCGCCTTCCTCCGTCTTTTCCATGACTGGGAACACTGGCTTTGTCTCTCCATTATTGGCTGTGCCCAAGACCCGGCTATCCATCCCACCTGGAAAACAAGCAGGGCACTCTGTCACGGTTGGGAACTCTGGAAAGGCAGCCCTCCCTTGTCCTTCACCAGGAAATGTCCACAGGAATAAATGCACTGGAAGGGAGTGAATTCCTATTCCCTTGTCTGCAGGCCCCGGTCCTCCTTAGTTTGTCTTATTGGTAAAGGCCAGGTGACAGATGCTGAAAATATAGGTTCCTTTCCTGTTTCAGGGAGAAGGGTTGATACTGAAGTACAAATGTTGCGTCCACTACACATGTTCTCTTGGGTTGGGGTTTGTGGACATGGAAGAATTCCCACAGGCTTGGGATAACCTGAGTTCTCTGACACCCTACAACTAGGGTGCCTGCAGTAGCTCGTGCTTCCGTTTCTCCACTCTGTATGCTGGGGGCCCCTGAAAGGATGGGATTTTTATAATGCCTCGAAGCCACAAATTTCCATTGCAGGAATTTATTCTAAGGAAATAATTGTGACTGTGGGTAAAGATTTGGGCTTGAAGATGTTCATTGCTTACAACGGCAAAAAAATTAGACATGTTCAAAAATGATAGATTAACAAATTATGGCACATACCCACAATGGACTACTATATAATCATTAAAAATTGTGTTGCAGAAGAAAGTATAATGAATGAAACAGGGTTCCTCAGATGTGAAGACAGATATAAAACAGGACATAGAATACGATTATGCTGGGAAAATGTTTTATATTTATATGCACTGAAAGATTAGGATATTCAGCAAAATTTTTTCTCTCAGTGGCTGGAATATAGAAATATTTTTCTTGTATATATTTTCTACATATTTATCAAAGAACATGTTTTATTTTATAATATGAAAATAAAAACCAGTTTTTCAAAAACTCTTTCCAAAGCAATGAGAGAGGCTGAGTGGGACCAGGAGCTCTGAAGAGATGAACCGATCCTTCCAGCTACTCCCTCCACCTCTCTCTGAAATCAGCGTAAGAGAAAGGCGAACTCAGGGCTCTTTTCTTTTCTGGCGATAACATATGTAGGAAACTGTTACAGTAGAGAAGACAACACAAAATGAATGAAGAACATTCTAAACCCTTCACTGCCCTATTCTAGATTCTCATGGGAGTGAAGATAAGACTGGACATGGCTCACGTTTAGTGAGCAACCACTGTGGACTAAGCATTTTGCATACATTTATTTCATTTAATCTGCACGAAAACCCTGAGATGTAAGCAGTATTACCTTTGCATTGTAAATGAAGAGACTGAGGCTCAGAGAGATTAAATAATGTCTGCTGCTGTACAGCTAATAAATGGCACAGCCAGGACTTGAACTCCCTCTGTGCCTGTGTTTTTTCATTATATCCCTTGATTACATTGGCTGCCTAGGTTTATCAGCATGTCTAATATAAGCATCTTCTAATGACTCTCCCCTGATTGTATGCAGTGGCCCCTGTTCCAGAAAAGTGGGCAAGTTAACTCTTTTCTACATCTCAAGAAAAACTGATGTTAACAGAACTTACTCAGCAGGAGCCCCATCTGGGCATAGACTCTCCTGGGGCTCTGCCTCCCTAGCTGAGCTACCTGAGGGATGCAGAATGCTGGGGCAGAGTAGGCACCTTGGCTTAGTTGATAAATTAGGGAATGGACTCCAAAGATTGTTTGTGAGCTACGAAGGAAAAACCCAAGCTGCTGGTTCCAAGAAGATTCCTCAGTCCTTTAGAGAAGGTTGTCCAATGTTTTGTGCTGGTTCTGGACCTCCCTTTAGCATCTGATGGATGTCTTCCAATGATGAAATACCATCTCCCTTCACTTCTTCATCCTCCCAGACCCCATGAGAAGCATTACCCCTATCCTGTTGGGGCCCTTGGCTTTATCAGAGTACCGATTCTCAGGGGCAGCACCATGCCCCTGAAAGGACATGAGGTATAGAGTCACACAAGCCTGACCAGATTTTTCTTTGTGCCATGCCACTCACTGCCTGATTTCAGAAAAAAATATTTGCTTTGAGATTTAGTTTGCTCATCTGTGAAAGTAAGAATTGATAGGACATACTTAGCTATAAGGATTAAGTGACTATATATATGAAATCACTTAGTAGAATCACATGCATTCAAATTTTTATTTTCACTCAATCATGTCAAAATTGGTATGTTCTTTCGATCTTTTCTCATTTCACAAAGAAAGCCTTCATTTTCTTAGATTTATCCCAGATGTCTTTCCTCTCAATCTAGGATACCCTTTCTCCAAATCACATTGTCCCTTAAGTCAACAGCCACTGAAGTTTCACAGAATAAAGAAAATAGCGTATACTCTTTGCATATGCACACGTAAACATTAGAGACATTTTCTAGGAGAGCATCAAAATATCCTTTGATTGTAAATCCTATGGACCCCACCAAACAGAAAAAGAAAAGAAGAAAATGTTACCAACCTTCTTTGAAGTTGCTGCCAGAGGTCCAGTCCAGGGAGGGAAAGAAGAATTATCTAAGAGGGAGGAGGAAGGTGCTGGCTATTTAGTGTGGTTCCAAGTCCACTGAGCAATTGTAATCCTAAACTTGGCCCAGCCCACATTCCGCCCCCCAGCAGCCCCCACTCTCTCCCCTCTGGGGCACGACAACTCACATGGGAGTGATTTCACAGCCCCGGGAGTGTGTGCGCCCTGGCAGGTCAAGCCAGTGAGCTTATCCGCAGCACGCTCTCCTCCCTGCAGCTCGCACATTCTTCCCTCTTAGTGACCTCGGGGTCTCTAGAGGCGTCCTGCCTTCCACCCCTTTGTCCAACTCAAGTGCTCCCATAAATCCATCAAGAAGAGGTGTTTCCTTGGTCAGGTCTGTGCAGATCAACTTAAAAATACATTTATCTTACCTTCCGCAGTTTAGTTTGGAATGGACAATGATTTAGAGTAAAGATACATAGATTATGGAACTCTAGGAAGTCAGAAAAACTTCCTAAACACACATACATATTTATATACTTATAGAAAAGCCCGAAAAAATATTCATCAAATGGCTCATGGTCATTACATTTGGAGAGTATGGTTGGAGTCAGGAGATGAAGTAAAGAGACATTTTTCACTTCTGCTTTTTAAGCTTCAGTATTGTTCAGATTTTAAAATAATGTGCTAAAACAGATTTTTAAATGCTTTTAAACCAATGAGGAAAAGGATGTGCCAATGTTTAAAACAAGGCAAAGCCCTAACACATCCTAAGCGAGGACTTAGACATGAAGAGGGGGCGGAGGTAGCCCGGGGGCACAGGAGGCAGCTGCAGTGAGGATCATTCATTTTGGCTGAAGTCAGGTCGGAGGGCCTGGGCCAGAGCCCACTGGCCAAAGCACAGCTCAGTGGAAGGCTACTTCGGCTTTGAGGCAGCAGGCACAGGCAGGAACTACTGAGTCCTGCTTCTGTCACTTTCCAGTATGTGGTCTTGAGCAAGGTGTTCAACTTCTGCAAGTCTTGTTGTCTCATCTACAAAAAGAGTAGATTATTCCTTATCTTGCAAAGCTGTGTGAAGTTTCGGGAGATAATGTATACTATACATAAAGGGCCTAATACAGAGCAAGCCCTCAAAAGGAAGCTATTATTTATCCTTAAGGAATTATTCATCATGAGCAGGGAAGTTTTCCTTGAAGGGGATGGGAGACCCCAGAGCAAAGCTGGGCTCAGGACAGACAGTATGAATGAGTCTGAGGGTGGAGGGTGAGAGTGCGGGGGGTGGGGGGTCGGCTGACTAAATGGGGTAAGGACAACAGGCCTGAAAGGACCAGAAGAGTGGAAAGGAGGGTAAAGCAGAGGGTCCAAGGGAGTTTCCACCTCTCACCCCTCATTTATCTCTAGGGCAGGGAAGCATGGGGCTTGGTGGAGTTTACTATTCCCATGCTTCAGCTGCCCTTTTCCTCTCCCCTCCTAACAAGGCATACATCTGATTTAATTGTGTAAAATAGAGCAATAGACCAAAAGGATCCTCTGAGAGATGCCACAAATTCATTCAAAAAAGTCCATCTTACTTTTTAATGACCGATTAATTGAGTTACTAAGCACTGGTACTTGTACCAGAAACTCTGGTACTTGTAATCTGAAATTGCCGGATAACTGAGGACTCAGATTCAGTGCTCTAGGAAGTTGGGACATCACACAGCCTTCAGTGATGGTGCCCGGCCCCTCCCGGGTCCCTGCATGCCGACAGCTGGGATCTCCAGTTTCCAGGAAAGTCCTGGTGATCAGCAGGCACCATCAGGACCTGCCTGGGTTGGTTTTGAGTTGCTACTCTTATATTAAGGAATGTTTGGTTTTATCTGTTGATCTAACTGTTTTTTGTGTAAGTGCTGCCAAATTATCATTTTGATTGTTATTTTATTTCTCTCCAAATCCTTGTTATCCCCAATTTCTTTTTTGTCTGTAACACAGAAGTGGATGTGGTAGGTGTTTTGCCCTGCGTAGAATGGCCACAGTTTTCAAAAGTTTGAGACCACTGGTAGGTGAGTGTCAGTACAGTTCGTCACGGCTCCCTGCCTGAAGTCTAGCACAGTCAGACAGGACTAGCCTGACATCCAACGCACGCCACCAGTGTTCTTTGGTCTCATGGGTGCAGACTCCGAAAACCTGGAAACAGGTCACAGCAGAATCAACGTTCAAGAGTTCTCATTCAAGAGGCTGCAAAAGTTTGAAGGCTCATTGGAGACTGTTAGTAAGGACAACTGAAGGCCATGCCCCCCAAAACATGTGTGTGAAACAAAGGGAGCCATGGAAAGGGCAGGCTATAAAATGGTTCCTATCAAATTAACCCGGGGCATATTTAAATGGCGATATGCCATGACGTACTCTCCCAGCAAGTTTTTGCCTTTCCTAGGAATGGACCAGCTGAAGAAGAGGCATGATTCATTTCAAAAAGAATATTTCTGAGCAACATCAGTTTCAACATTAGAATGGATTGGTGTAGATAGTGGTGGGCTCTCTCCTCTGGAGATCTTTCCATTAATAGGCACAGTTCTGCTGAATCTCAGGTAAGAGAAACCTGTTGACCTTTTTGATCTCTTTTCAAATATCTCACTGAAAGGAAATACAGGAACAAGTGAAATAATAAACTAAACCACAAATTATGGTTTTCTAAAACTGGAACAATTTGAGCAACAAAATGAATAATGATACTACTGGATTATAATCCAAAGAATAAAATACATTCATGAGTTTTGCTAATATAAATAAATAAATAAATAAATAAGTAAATAGCTTTTCTATACACTAGAATTTAATTAATAAATGTATAAGGAAAGAGAGAAATAGAAAATCACCATTAAAGTCATGAAAAGCAAGGACCTGCATCCAAGATGACTCTATCTAGCAAGCTATCATTTAGAATGGAAGGGCAGATAAAGTGCTTCCCAGATAAGGTCAAGTTAAAGGAGTTCATCATCATCAAGCCATTACTATATGAAATGTTAAAGGTACTTATTTAAGAAAAAGAAGATGATCAAAAGTAAGAACAGTAAAATGACAACAAATTCACAACCAGCAACAACTGAACCTAAAAAACAAAAATTAAACAAACAACTAGAACAGGAATAGAATCACAGAAATGGAGATCACATGGAGAGTTATCAGTGGGGAGAAGGAGAAAGGAGAATGGGGGAAAAGGTACAGGGAATAAGAATCATAAATTGTAGGTATGAAATAGACAGGGGGAGGTTAAGAATAGTATAGGAAATGGAGAAGCCAAAGAAGTTATATGTATGGCCCATGGACATGAACTAAGCAGGGGGAATGCTGGAGGGAGGGGAGTGCAGGGCAGAGGGGGGTAAAAAGAAGAAAAAGTGGGACAACCATAATAGCATAATCAATAAAATATACTTTGAAAAATAAATAACAAATAGTAAACTTAAAAAACAAAAATGTCTCCATTAGACAAATACCACTGTAATAATTGTTGTAAACAAGATTTACTGATGAATACTAAAATTAGTGGATGAAAGTTTGAGGAGGAACAGAATTTACATAGTCTCAAAGTATCTCCCTCAGAATATTTATTAAGTGTAGAAAGATAGTAACTTTCCAAGTAGAGAATTCAGGCAGAAACCATATTAACCAAGTGACCAAAGTCAACATCATCAGTAATAAAACATTAATATCTCATGAACTTCATGAAATGGTGTACTAAGGAAAACACAACAAAATTTCTGTGGTGTTTTGGGGAAGAAAAATAAAGATCGTTACAGTCATGAGAAAACATATGAGAAACCCAGAGTGAAGGACTTTGGACAAAATAACCAGTCGCTACTCTTCAAAAGCATCAAAGTCATGAGAAACAAGGAAACTGAGGAATATTTTTATTTTTATTTTTTTAATGTTTTATTTACTTATTTTTAGAGGAGGGGAAGGGAAGGAGAAAGAGAGGGAGAGAAACATCAGTGTGTTGTTGCCTCTTGCACACCTGCTACTGGGGACCTGACTTGGCCTGCAACTCAGGCGTGTGCCCTGACTGGGAATCAAACTGGAGACCCTTTGGTTCACAGGCTGGTGCTCAATCCAGTGAGCCACACCAGCCAGGGCAGGAACATTTTTAGACTACAGGAGACTAAGGGGAAATGAAAACTGAATGAACATGGGCTTGTGTCTAGGATCCTAGATAGGGTGCTAGAACACAAAAGGGACTCTAGTGTGAAAACTGGTAAAACTTAAATACGGGCTTTAGTTTAATAGTACTCAGCCAATGTTAATTTCCTGGTTCTGACAATTGCACTATCATGTAAATATTAACATTAGAGGAAGCTGAGTATAGGATATATGGAAACTGTACAATTTTTGCAACATTTCTGTAATTCTAAAATTAAGATAAATTTTTTTTAAGGATTATGATTTGCTCCCTGACTATTACAGTCCAAGTACTTGACCTTGCTGTGCAAAGTATAGGGATATTACACTCAGGAACCATAGGTGTTACTGAAAACTTTGCTGACTCTTGTGCTGTATTTCATTTCAGGTAGTATAATTAACCTAAATTCTATGAGCCTGAGGTCTTAAATAAAACTTGTGACAAAGAATATTAATACCATCGATCATCACCATTACTAATGTTTATTAAGAACTTCAACATGCCAGGCACTGTGCTAAGTGCCCCACATGCACCCTCCCATTTTACCCTCTAAAGATGAGAAACACAGTCTTTCACAGATAATTAAATGACTTCCTTAAGGTCACATAACTAGAAAATGGTAGAGCCAAAACTGGAACTCAGGCTCTTAGGATTCTAAAGTCCATTATTTATAACTACCATGCTACACTTTAACTCTGGGAGCGTGGCAGTGCGGGGTGGGGGAGCAGATGGGAGGCAAGAAAAATACTAACAAGTCTGGCTCTAGCACTGTGTTTATTTGGGCTAGTGCTGGCCCGTGAGATGAAATATAACCTTCTTAGGAAAGAGGTAAGTAATGAAATGACAAAAAAAAATGTTACTTTTACTGAAAAGTTCATCAGACCTGAAGAATATTTTTAAAACCTAATGAGAAGCCTCTCCTTC